TGCCCTTGCCGTTTGTGAGAAGAAACAGCTCACTTGTGAAGCCTGGAAAGCAGGATGTGTGTTGGGGCTAGTATGACCATTACGAACAAAGTGTAATTAACCACTTCACCACCTGAGACAGCACCTGCGGGATAGAGAGCTCCTTTGTTCAAACAGGAAACCCTTGAAGGCAGCACTGGTGATCTTGTAAAATTTTGCTGAAGGAGTCTTACAGAGGCAAGCAGGCAGCTGTCTGCCCACAGGGAACGGCCAGGGACTGAAAACTGTCCTGCTTTGCCAGGGGCAGCTGCGTCTGCGGGTCGTGGGTTGCCTGTGCCAAGGGTGGCGCTGCCCTCTGACACCGACACTGGTGAGGGTCTGGGCTCCAGCGAAGCCACTCGCCATTAGGCACAGTGAAAACAGCGGCTGCACAAAGCCGGAGTTCTGCCTTGGCGTCACCGGGGGCGTCAGATGAGTGTCGTGAAGGGCCGGTGGGGCACTGCACGCTCGGGGTGCATTGGGCACGTCGCTTGGGTACCTGCTGTGGCAGCTCCTGTACCTGCGGCCTTGACACGCGCAGGGGCAATGTGATGTCTGGGTTTAAATTAGAAGATGGGTTCAAGTTTGGGGCAGGGGAATACAAGCCAAGCAGCTAAGGACATGAGCACACTTCATTGCCCTGGCTTTGCCTTAAAGGCAGCAATACTAAGCTGGCAGTGGTAACCGGTCTGTACCCTGCCAAAAATTATACATATGCTATATCCCGTTTACCTACCCTCATGCTGCAAAAATGCTCTCTGGGCTTGTCGGCGCTTGTGACTTTCTCTGGCCCCCTCATGACACATTGCATAATAAACGAGGGGAAACCTGTTTGTTTAGTTGTTAGAGACTAATCTGATAGCATTGGTGTCCATGAGAAAAGCCTAACTAGGCCATTGGAGCCTGACAGACGCATGATGTTTGTGTCTCATGGCTGTTGCTGCAGCCTCCTGCCTTTGCATTTCAGAACTGCTGAGCTGTTGCCTTCCTACCTGTTTACTTTTCCACACAAAAGCCTGTTTCCCCCACCCCCACCACACCGCCCCAACTGCAAACAGCTAACGGGTAATCAAACAAATTTGATTACCTGATCAGCCTCAAATAGGTATACAGGGGCTTTGGTATAGAAACACACCTCAAAAACAGAGAGCAGGATTTCGCAGTCTGCCCTCCTTTGCTCTAAGTGGTCATTACCCAAAGCCTAGCTCTATTAGCCATTCTCTGGGCAGTATGTCAGTGGAACTGCCCTTCCCTTCTTCAGCTGGCAATGATTGTTGTAGTCCACCAAGAAAAGCAGCCGAGGCACCAGCCATCATTTTTAAAATTCTGCTTTAGAGGCTGGTCAAACCTCCCTACGAGCCCCAGATGGATGTTTTTAGAGACAGCCACAGCCGCAGCCTGGCCCCTCGAGCCTGTCAGCAACGCAGTGACAACCACAGTGGGCAACCATGGACTGAGCCACCCGCCGGCAAAGGGTGCAAACCAGCCAGGGAAGGTAACTGAGGCCGAGGTCACCCCTTTCCAATGCGCTTTCTCCTCACGCTACCTACAGCAGCCCTGCCCTGCACACAAGCCAACCCCCACACGCTGCTAGCCAGCACTTGGTTTGAAGATCTACTCCTCCCCATCCTTGCCCAGTATCACTCGTATTCTTAAACAGTACTGAGTAGGTAAGGAGTTGAGGCAGCCTGGTTACAGCCCGTTTGCTGAGACTGGATGCAATCTCGGAACTCACCTGAACAGAGTCATTTTCATGCTAGTTGAAGGATCACAGCTCCTCCTGTGCTCTCTTCCCAGACTGGCAGCACATCCCGTTCGGTAAACGGTGTATTCCACCTCACAGTCACTCACGTGCCAAAACTCACCGGACCCCTCTCTTCCCTGATGATGAGTATCTGTCCTCTTACACAGAAAGCACCTGTAACTGGTTAAACACACTCCGCCTTTGTGTTGTGAAGCTGCCAGTGGTTACAGACCAAAGCCCAGACGATCCTGGAGCACAGCTCTGTTGTGACAGACCCTCCGCACTCCACCTCACCGTGCCACCTGAGCAGAGACAGCAACAGGCCGGAGTGGCACTTTTTTCCTTCTGCTACAGCAATGCCCATCACCAGTTAGTGGCAGACTTATGTTAACCCCTCACACTCCACGCTTCAGATCTTCCAACATTCGAGAAGTATATATGCTCTTCCACAAAGAAACAGGATGCAAATTTTTTTTATTCCATCAAGGAGTGATTACAAAAAACAGTACACTGGTAAAAACCAGATTCTGCCAGTAACAAACATTCAGTAAACATTTTATTTAAACGCAGATAATCACAAGGTTTGGATACAAGAATGCTCACTTGTGCCCAGCCATTTCTGACGGTGAAGCTAGGGACTACATTATGATTATAACACACTGATTAGAATTGATACTTGAGGGCAGTTGAGCAAACAGAAAACTCGAATTGAAAAACGTAATAGCCACTCCAAAACTTACGAAAAGACCAATTCAGACCAGTTTCTGAAAGCTTTCTGGCCCCCCGTCATCCAAAATATTTTGTTTTATATATATAGTTTCATAAAATGGAGTCCCCCAGGAGATTCAAATGCTTTTTATTAAGACCCTCACCTGGTTTATGGTTATGCTCCCTCCTCTGTCCCTTTCTCTAAGGCCTGAAGTCTTACACCTCTCAAGTCCCAAGTCTGTAAGACACACAGCACGCACTTCTGCAAGTCTTTTTTCAATACTCACCTACAGAAGCCCTTAAACATGTCTCCAAACGCTGTATCTCTCCTACCTAGCTGCTTCTCAGCTCGTCTTTGGCTGTCATCTCTGCTACACTCACAGACTTCCACTGAAGTGGGTAATACCCAGAAACCTCATCCTGTCAGCGCGGCCATACAATTCAGAACTGTTAAGAGCACACACCACGTAGGCAGAACTCCAAGTTTCAGGCAAAAATACCTTGTTGTGATTCATTATTCCACAGCCCAAATGAAACAGAAGTCATTTGCAAAAGACAATATCCCCCAGTACAGAAGAGCTGTGTTTGTGAACGACGTTCACAGCTGCAGGAGGCAGAACTATTTCATAAGCGTTACAGAAAGGGCCATCTTCTCTCTGGCCCCACAGCTGTCAGCAACAGAAAAAGCAGCAATGCAGAAAAAAAAAAAAAACAAAAAAAAACTCAAAAAGCAGAACGAACTCCACGTTTGCAAGTAGATTTTTTAACAAGGAAGGACACTTTAAAGCTTTAGTAAATTTGCTGTTTCGTTCCTTCCCCTTTTCCCTTTTCACATGAAGGCACACACATACATACACACACACACGGATCCCACTTTTGAAGAGGAGCAGCTTACGCTGAAGCTAAACATTCAGTGACCACTCTGACGCTGCTGAACGGAACGTTCATCTTAAAGCCAAGCATCAAAACGGCTGGCAGAAGAGTCTGTGCAGGCTTAGTTTAAGCCTGAAGTGCTAAACCCCAGTCATCCTCATCTGGACCTCCCCTTCTAGCTTTAAACAACAAAGAGTACTTGGGACCCTAAAACGTTTGAAAATGCAGTTCTTAAATCAAGATTGTGAAGTTTGCCAGGCAAGCGGATCAATTTTCATCAGCCCCTCCTTGATTTTCACGTTCTACAATGTGGAGCACATTCCGTCACGGAGCATTAAGGAATTTTGGGAGTGATACAGAATCAGCTGCTGGACTAATATAAGTCTTTTTTTTTCTTTTCTTTTTTTAAGCCTTGTATTTGTCTGCTAGCTTCATTATAGGTAAACTCACCTGCCAGCAAATAAATACTTTAAAAAGTTCATCTTAATTGCACCGAGGTTAAGATGCATCACCATTCACTCCATAAATATCGAAGGCCAAGACTAGTTACCTTTCACAGTACACAGGCACTGTTCCCTGGGATTCAGTGACATCATATGTGCCAACACCCAAATGAACAGAAGAGCTGCTGGAAGATCGTGTTTTCACAACAGCTTTAGCAAGAATTCGTAGGTGGCATTGATTATGCCCCAGGACAGGACAGAACGATGGTAATTCAGATGGGCTCCTCTGAAAAGGTGGATCAGTTTTCTGTCACGTTCCAGCCAGATCTTTACGAAAACTTTCGGGAAGGACTGAAATTCACCACCAATTTGAGCTTGCATGCGAGTTTTCACAACATTCACTGGGAAAAACAAGAATCCCAGCATGGCACCCAGCAGCCCTCCACAGATAAAGTCGTTGATCAAGTGAGTGCTGTAAGAGGTTGCTTCAGGCAGACACTGTTTGATAGGTCCCCGCAGGCCAAAGAAGAGTGCGTTACTGGGTCCATTTCGGAGCAGAATAGGCACCAATCCCCGGTAATACTCTCTCATCCCATAGACTCTCAGTACCTTGAAAGCCTGGTAAGTGTTTGTAAATTTATCGTGGTGTTTGTAGTCCTGAAGCAAAGTCTGAACTCGCTCAAAAGGTGTGAGAACAGCTTCCGTGGTCCCCGCGAGCACTGCTGCCATGCTGCGAGTGAGGAGTTCAGGGGCACTCGTGTGGCTATGGAGCAGGGAGGAGAAATCTTCGTACAAGCCAAACATTAGGGCCAGCGTTGTCGTCTTCTGCATTAAGGGAGGAAGGATGCCACGGTAGAGGTTTCGGATTCCGTCCTTCTGCAGCTGTTGTACTGCATCCTTTGTTTTCAAACCATACAACTGCTGTCGAAAAAGGACCTTCTGGATGGGAAAAGTGACTGCTATATTCGTGAAGGCTGCGCAGTAGCCACAGAGATAATGTTTGCCAGAGGTAGCCGTTGTGTCATTGCTTAGATATTCCTTCGCATTCGCTGGGGCAGAACCTTCCGAATCCATCATCCTGTTTTTCTGACTGTAGTCTATCTCAGTTCGCCTTCCCTGCATCAAGAAAGAAAAGAACGAGCATGAGCAGAGCTGGAGGCGACCCTGCAGCTTTTTTCACGCTAGTGGATCATTCGAACAGCGCCCAGCACCTTACATAAAATTTGAAGGAGAAAAGCAACAAATGCCAGCTCTGACAGATGTCGCACTGTTTTCTACTCACGTCTCAGAGACCCAAAAACGCGGCAGTTTTCCCTTTCTGTACACTTTCAAATTAAAATAAAAATAAATTGGGACGGAAATTGAGATACGAACCCCTCAAGCGCTACGTTACAGCTGCGAGAGGAAGTTTGTGCCTTAGATTACCCCACTTGCTGCGCCAAGGAATTCACACAGCGAAAGGCCTACTCTCACACTAGTAGCCATCACCAGGATGGTGGTTGTAGGGACAGAAGAGTCTGAGAAAGAAAGAAATAAAAAATAAATAAAATACATACAGTAGCACTACAAATCCTGATCATTCCACCCTGCCTTTCCCTGTGGAAGGAAACAACAGGTAATTTGTTGTGGTTTAACCTGGCCAGCAACTCAGCACCACTAAGTCACTCGCTCACTCCTCCCCACCCTGGTAGGATGGGGGAGAATCAGAAGGGTAAAAGTGAGAAAGAAACTCATGGTCTGAGATAAAAACAGTTTCACAATTAAAAAAGAAAATAAAAAAAATTTGTAAGGGGTAAAAAAAAAAACAACAGAGAGAGGAAAACAAAACCCAAGAAAGACAAGCGATGCAAATGAAAACCACTGCTCACCACCAACGAGCTGATGCCCAGCCCATCCCCGAGCAGCAGCCCCCTGCCAACCCCCCCAGTTTTACTGCGGAGCACCACGCCACAGGGTGTGGGACCTCCCTGGGGTCAGCTGGGGTTGGCTGTCCCAGCTGTGCCCCCCGCCAGCTCCTTGTGCACCCCCACCCTGCTACTGGCGGGGCAGGGCGAGGGGCAGAACAGCCCCTGTCCCCGGGCAAGCGCTGCTGCTCAGTGGTGCCCAACACACCCAGCGCTGTTTTCGGCACAAACCCAAAACAATGTCCCCGTACAAGCTACTAAGAAGAAAATTAACTCTATCCCAGCCAAAACTAGTACATGACTGTAACCACAGGCTTAAATTAAACTGCAAACCCACTTCTTACACAGTTTTGGAAATGTCTGAAAGCTCCAGTTAATTAACCTGCAGCCTCATCTGCACAGAAAGAGAAGAACTTGAACCCAGACTTGATTTGCATGTTTGCTGAGAAGTTGAAGACCTTGAGCTTGGCCAGATGAGGTCCTGAAGGACACGTAAACAGAGACAGGTCTATCAAACACAGCAGGGAACTACTGCAGTATCATCACCAGGCAACGCTTGCTCATCATTTAAAACGGGATGACTTATTCAACACTTACAAAGAGCTGTTTCTGCTGCCGATCCGAATCCTAACTTCCATTACAGCACAGCTCCAATTAGTCAGTAACAATCACGTGAGGCTGGTGGTGGTTTGCGAACTTCAGATTTGCAGGATTCCCATGATTTCAAAGTGGTATTTGGGGCTGATACCCCGGCTTGGCACAATAAACTGCTTTTCAAGGTGCAGCCATTACAGGCTGTTCTGCAAAGTACAGGCCAGATTGCTCAAAGCAACCCGATGGGTTATTTTGACCAAGTACATAATTTATTTTTTTTAAAAAAGAACTTACATGCCTGGGTTGGCTTCTCCCCTACAGTTATACGCTATTTAATCCTTTAAGGTCTGGCAAATGAAAATGCCACCTAACTAATTTACAGTGATGAAGCCCTTCTGTCAACGTGAGAAGCAACATCAGCGACAGGGATCCGTATTAGGTGGCTTATACACCACTGCATACCTGCACCAATTCGGGGTGTTACTTGGATTACGGTGGCTCTACTTGCATACACTAAAGAAGGCACACCTACAGACACACCAGGCTCAGCCAGAGGAGAGGGGGCCGCAACAATTCCACTAACGCAGTGTGGAAGTATCACCAGAGACAACACCGACAGAGAGATTACTCAAAAGGCCTTTACAACCAGCCATTTAGATGGGTGACAGCTGCCTGCGGCCAAAACATATTTTTCCCTCAACAGAAACTCCTAATAAAAAAAAAATCAATTAAAAAAAAAAAAGTGATGCTTAGTTTCAGAAGCCACACGCTCCCTCTGGCGTTACTGCTAGATGTGTCCAGTGGGGAATCGCTCCAGCGATCCTCACGTAGGGAAGCAGTCATGCTTTTAAGTGGGAGCGTGCAGGAGCCAGGCACAGCCAGCCCCCCCCGAAGTGCTTATGACAGAACCCTTGCTCTCAGACAGAATTTGTAAGGCCTGTGCCTTCAGTACAACAGCACAGCAGCCACTTTGTTAGAATTTAACATAAAAGACAGTCCTCAGAAAGGAGTAAAGGTTTTGGATCCTTGGCATTGCCTATCTGTACAAACCCCTGACGCTGCTGCAACATCCCGTTCTTACGCAGCAGTTCCCCTCCATCCCACTTCAGAGCGCTCCCAGCAAGGGGTCACACACGACCCTTTTGGGTACCGTGCTCCCTGACCCAAGGTCTGCAGGTCAGGTGCGTGCCACGGTCACTGCCTCGTGCTGCGCACATCTAGCGCTTCGAAAGAAGGATCTCAACCTTGTTACCTGCCTAAACGACCACGGCCTTCAAAATGCTGGCACGTGACCCGCTACGTCTGAAAAACACGAGGCAAGGAACGAAGAGAAGGGCACTTGCTGCATGGTATCGCGTTGTGTCCCTGCACTTGTAACACCGGTGAGGGATCGCAGTGTTTCCCGTCATCCCGACCGCTGAGGAATGAACCCGCTCCCCAGGAACTCCTCCCGGCCCCGCGGCAGTTGAGGATCACCCCGGGAACTGAGCGCTCGCTCGATCCGTCAGTCACGGCGACACCACGAACCTGTGCTCTTCCGCCACCGGCCATGGGAAACAGCG